AAAAGATTAATCGATGTACGCACAAACTAGTTTGAATATCCGTGACTATTAAAAAAAATTCATTCCACGCTTTTTTTTTTATCATTTTTATGGTCCCAAAAGTGGTGATAGCAACAACTAACTACCTCATCCATCTACCTTTGATGCATGGTGAAGAATGAAGTTACACACCTAACCAATCTTTATTTTGGGCATTCATGAATGGGTTTAATTGCCTAAATAGTAGTGGTGGAAATGACATCTTAGTAGTCCCAAGTCTACAATAAGTTCAAGCACCAACTTGTACTCAGTAGTTATTCTAATCTTTATAGTATTGTTACAAAACAACCAGACAAAAAAAAAATAAAGAAAACACTAAAAAATTGACTTACACCAGATACAACAATGTTATGGTGACTAATATTTTTATGTTAAGTTTTTCCTTCCAAATGACGAGACATAATTTTCACCATCAAATAAGTGAGTCTTATTAATATTCATTGATAAAGATTGTGCTACATTACTTATGATTAAAAACTTGATAAGAAACTTAATAAACATAACCTTACTGAATTAGATATTGATAAAACATCACTTATATGATTCTCTGTCTCTTCTAGGGCAGTGTCAACCCAAATTAACCCACACTTTATTTTTTCCGATCCTCTTTCCTAATATCTAAAACAAACACACCTTTATATGTGACTAGATTAAAAGGTCTAAGGAAGAAAAAAGGTGTTTAGGTGCAAGTTATAACTGATAAAATGACACAATTGATCCCAAAATCTTATGATTGATTAGGAAAGTTAAGAATTTTTATAAGTTAAATTACAATTTTTAAATATCCCGTTACAAATCGTAAAAAAATAAGCTACAATTGTTTAAAAAATTCATAATCGATAAATTTTTTCAAATAATTATAACTTTATTTTTAAAATATATAGTTTGACTGACTATTAACAACGATAACTTTCGATACAATAATATTTTTTTTTTTTAGATACCGTAAAATTATCCCCTTGTATGGGAGAAATAAGGTAAGATGCAACAGATCCGGACAGGACAAGTAACTTCCCATATTCTTATTATCTTCCACGGGACAAACATCCCACAAAATAGCCAGACCCAGACCCAGACCCAGACCCTTTTGGAGGGAGCGTCTGAGGGGAGCGTCCTTAGCGCGTGTCAGACACTCACTCACCTGCGCGTGAGTTGTCCCTTTCTTTCACCCTCTCATGAAAGAAAAATCCTTCGTCACCTGACTTTGGCATTAAGAAAATCTCCATCAAAAAAGGGGCTGGATTTTTTTTTTTTCTTCTAAGGATAACTAATACAAATAATCCAATTGTCCTATTCCATTCTCCCTCTCTCTCTCCTCTCTATTTTGTCTCCTTCTCTTATTTTTTCATAGATTTGATTTTTTTTTTTTGAAAAAATCTATTTTGTCAAAGTAAGTAAAGTTTTGTGACAATTAATTTAAGTAATAAATTAACTCTAACAAAGTAATAACCTATTTAGACTAAAATTAATTAACAACTAATAATAAAATAACTAATTAATGAGAGCTTGATTAAATTCTCAATAGTCTTCGTAACATATGAACACGCCGCCGTCTAAAAGATGTGAAATTTCAACAATTTTAACAATTATATGTAAAAAAATTTTGTTTGAAATTGATCAAAAGATAATTTATAAACCAAACATAATGTTGGATTGGATAGGTTAGGGGCAAAACAATTCCTAGTATCATATTTCATCAATCTTTTCCATGGGTCTTCATCACCGTGCTCTGTGGGTCCCACATAATTGCTTACGTGTTATGCAAGTACTAAAAAATAATATTTTTTTAAATCTACAATCCAGTCCAACCCTGCCATGCCATCGAAATAAACCCTTAAATTATGGGATTTCTATCACACTGTCTCCTAAAGTATCATATTCTATGCTAATAAGATATAATTAATTTTTTTTAGTCTACCACTAGAGTGGCTGAAATTCATTCAATCCAATAACTTAAAATCATTTCTAAATTTTTTTCCTCCAAACTTGAAAAACTCAAACAGTGTATACTTTTTTTTACGGTAATCAAGTCAGACTAAGTATTCTCTCTCTTATTCATTTTTTTCTCTCTCTATTAGGAATGTTGAATAATTTATTTTTTGATTGTAGAAACCTAAGAAAGACTTTATTTTTTATTTTCTAATCTTAATTTTTGATAAATATTTTTTTTAATTATCAAATTTGTTTAGTTACTAACTTCACATTGTCCCAATAATTAAAGCCTATTAAAATTTTAATGAAATGTCATGCCACTTTGATCCTCGAATTACATTATTTTGTTTAACTTTGCCCTAAAATATTTATATTTTTAATCCAAAAGATAATGTAAAACCAATTCAAGTACTTAAGAAGGCAACATAAGAAATTCAATGGATCAAAGAACAAGGTGAGACGAAGGCTGCTGTTTTGGAGGATAAAGTGGGAAAATACCAACTCGTTACACTCATTAAGACTCGTGCGTCCGGAAGAGAAAACAGTCGAAAAAAAAGAATTTAATATAATTTGTTGATCTAATGACGTGACTTTATTAAAATTATTGGATTTACACCAAATTTTAATATTTGATAGAGCTCACAGTCAATCCAAATGTCATAGTGAATTAGATCAGTAAATTAAGTCACAACAACGTTATTTTTTATTTTTTTTTTAAATTTAAGTCTAGTTCATTGTAAATATGAGTGAGTCCTACACTCATACATTGTTAATGAATAATTTATCAAAAAAATAAAATAAAATATTAAAATAGATCTAAATCCTTCATTTGGTTGCAGGAATGAGGTATGAGGCATGAGAACAAAATAAATAAATAAACATTTCGTTAACACAGCTTAAAGCCAAAATATAAAAGGAGTATTCATTGTAACACCATAAAACAACTTTTTTAAATTATGAAATATGAGCAAAGGTGTAATTCTAATTTGTCAGTAATGCTCAACTTTTGGAAAGAAAAAAAATTTAATCAAGACGTTAGTCCTCTTTTTTTTTTTTTTGGGCTATAAGGTGTTCAAATTTGTGTTGACTATTCTTTCAAATTCATCGGTTAGTCAACATGGCATGAGCAGGAGTAGAGCATACAAGGGTGTCTAATTCTCAAGAAGTGTTGGAAAGGATTAAATCTAAGACCTATGAATTACCAAATGGCAAGTTCAACCACTAAATAGAGNCTTTTGGAGGGAGCGTCTGAGGGGAGCGTCCTTAGCGCGTGTCAGACACACACTCACCTGCGCGTGAGTTGTCCCTTTCTTTCACCCTCTCATGAAAGAAAAATCCTTCGTTACCTGACTTTGGCATTAAGAAAATCTCCATCAAAAAAGGGGCTGGATTTTTTTTTTNGGCAAGTTCAACCACTAAATAGAGAGTATAATTTTATACTAATTATGATTTTTTTTAAAAAAATTGACTTTTTATTTTTAATTTTATTTCAATAAATGATACAATAAAACATAAATTTTTGTTATAAAATTTAAAATATTTAATATTCTNTTTCTTCCGAGGATAACTAATACAAATAATCCAATTGTCCTATTCCATTCTCCCTCTCTCTCCTCTCTATTTTGTCTCCTTCTCTTATTTTTTCATAGATTTGATTTTTTTTTTTTTTGAAAAAATCTATTTTGTCAAAGTAAGTAAAGTTTTGTGANTGTAATTTATTTAGCAGATGTTTAAGTGTTATACAAACCTTAAATGATTTTATATAATATTTTAAATGTTAAAAGGTCTAAGTGATTAAGTGATAAATCTCAGAGAGTCTAAGTTTAATACTCCCTAAAATTAATTATAGCATCTACAATCGACTTTGGAGTGCGAATGATCGATTGTCCTCATGTTTTAATCAAACACACACGAGTTTTAAATGCAAATTTAAAATTCGAACAAATCAAGCTCAAACGATAACTTGTTTGACTCGTTTAATTCTGAACACGAGTTCTCAAGCACATGCTCAAACTTAATTCGTTTATAGATGCTGAAAGTACTCTCTGCAAACTAACAATACCCAAACATTATATGCGATCACAACAAATCTTCAATCCTACAGGTTCTCAATGAGTGGTAAGAGTTCAAATTAAACTGGCATCATGAAGATGAAGAATGAGGAAGCAGATACGCACCAGTAAATAGCAATTTGAAAGATGCTGTGTCAACACAGATCACTCATACAAAGTCGGATCACCCAAAAAAAATCTATGTCGAAAGAATTTCTTTTGTAATTCTTCATATAATGATTCCGAAAATATTGGATCCCTACCTACCTATGCAAATTGTTTATAAAACTCTAAAATGACATGAATATTTAAACCACGACGAGCGGTAAACTAGGAACTCATCTGAAAACATTTATTATACATAGAGATGATTACTACATATGTTGGATCTCCCATGTCACATTGAAATAAAACATAGGAAGGTCTGTCACCGTAATAGATTGTTAGAGTATGTGTGGCTCATATATTTGCTATGTGCATAATGGTAAGGAGGCAGATGCCGGAGCGGAGCCCGCGACGGCATCTGCCTTGCGGGATTTATATATAGGGGACGCTGATAAGTTGGGGGTGCGGGGGCAACGCCCCCGCGGTACGGTACAGGGGTACTTTTGTAAATACGTCCATATTAGGGTTATATAAATACTTAAGATGTAACCCTACTTCAATAAGGAAAAGAACAGCCGCTCGCTCTCGTGGATGTAGGCACATTGTCGAACCACGTAAAATCTCTGTGTGTTATTTTCTCCTGCTTTCTTAATTGTTTGATTCCTTACTATTCACCATAATTGCTGCACGATCACAACATAGATGGACTAAAATATAAAAGCTATATGAATATCTCTCATTTACGAGGATTTTCAAGCAGTGTAGAAGCCATAGGAAGTAATCAAAAGTTTTGATAACCAGGATGCAGGTGGGGTTGATGAAAAGTTGATAAAAACAGCAGAAAAAAGGAATCAAATTACATACAATAGGGGCCTAGAGAATAACTCCCTCATCCACTTCATTGTCCTCATCGTCCCATTCAACAGAAGAGACTGGAGGACCACCATCAGAAGAGCTTTTCAAGGTATGATCAAAAGCCTCAGAGTCATACTTCAATGAAAACTTCCCCGACGGTTCAAGAATCTCAATACCAATTGTAGGGGACAGTGATCGCCCCACCACTTGAACATGAGACACACTGCAAGGTGTCAATAAAGTACAGAAAAGAGTAAGAGCCAATCATGATGCTCTACATAACTTTTTGGTCACAAGAATAGATTACACCACCTTTTTTTCTTCTCTCTTTAAAAGTCTGAAGATTACACCACCTGAAACTACCTTTTCTTGAATTGGTAACTAAGAGACTTAAAATGACAAAAAGTGCAAGGCAGAAGAAGTAATCAAGTTATCTAGTATGCAATTCTGAAGTCTCAAATATGGACTTGTTACAAAGAACACAGCTTGATGTCCATTTCTATTTCCCATAGTTAAAAGTCAAATTCAGCAGGCTCAACAAGCATTAAACTATTTAACAGAAAAAAGATGGGTCTGGGACTAACCATATGTAAAATAAACCATTCATATCATGTCTCTGAACCCCACGCAACAGCTCAATCTGCAAAAATCCACCAATGTAAAGAACAGGTTCTGGCAGCTTGAACTTCTGCAAGGAATTTTCCTGATTGCAGGAAAGTTGTTTAAGCATTGAGCTACTCAAATATGAAGTTCAATAGCCATTCAAAGGACAACAACAAAAGAATTACACCTTTGTGGGAAGTAAAAAGTATGAATAAGTGGAAAAAATTAATTTTTAATTCAAATACATGCTAAAGAATACATCGTAGGAAGAGAAGCCATAAATTATAAACAACTATTTCATATACTTCGTGAGCACTAACCTTCTCTTATGAAGAAATAATAAAACCAACCCTATTTCTCAGCCAACTTAAGAAAAGGTTAGGTCAGAACTTTATACCACGGTACAACTCACCTGAGCCATTGGAAACTCTACTGACGTGTATGTCCATATGAACTTGTCATCTACAGGTTGTAGTAATGGCAGATGCATGAGATCACCCTCTATATCCTCCAGGGACTTGGCATGACCAAATCGGAATCGCACAGCTCTTGCAGAGTATATGCGTTGGCCCAATTCAAGAACAGCTGGATGGAGAACCATGCTTACCATCAACTAAAGGCATTTGGATTGTTAAAAACAAGCTAGAAGAGTTCAAAATAATTAGAAAACTCACAACCATTATCTCGGAAGGGCCGTATATTTATTTGAGTAATCACACAAAGATCAGCACTTAATTTGTATATTAGTGTCTCAGGTGCAGCAGGATCACGGTGTCCTTTAGTTGACCAGTATGAGAATCTCCGTAGTAATCTGTCCCTTGGTTCTAAAGTATTTGCAATGCTTTCAAATGGATAGCGATCAGTGCTAGAAGCCCCAACTGCATCTGCTATGCAATCACTTAATGCAAACCCTGTAAGAGCTCGAAATAGAGGAGCCTAGGCCCCTGTGGTCCCTCTCAAGAGCTTCCCATTCCATGAGATTGCTAGATTCAACATCAACCGATTTTTTTGCTTTGCAGCAGCAGCAACTAGTTTCAATCACATGAGCAACACTGGAGAGCTGCGGAAACATTCTCACACACAGCTGCTTACAAAGTCCATTTGCAATCACTGCAAAAAAAGATGATATCATCGTAAGTTTCGGCATTACCTTTTGGTTTCCCTTCCAACCTACCAAACCTATAATACAGAATGTTAATGACGCCTCTTCCGCATTTATACCACTAGCTTAACATGCCTGGAACCATTGATAAAGTAAAATATTCATAATACCAGTCATTAGAGTTCCATCATGTAGCCACCAAACAATGAAACCCATCATTACCTACGTATTTTCTACAAAGTTATTGAACCAATATTCAGAAGTAAGAAAACAAATATCGAGTGCAACCAGCAAAAAACACATATAGTACCCATCATTACGTACGTATTTTCGACACGATTAATAAACTAATTAAATATAGGTAAAATTAATCAAAAGAAATACACAGTACAACTCGCTCTTATATTAATTATAGATGAATGATACACTACACAAAATCTGACATGATATGGCTTATTAGACACGAATAAATAAACAAATTGAATATGAATGAAATGTTTTTTAACACAAATCCATTTTACCCAACACGATTGATTGACCTCCTTGTGAAGAGATTTGATAAGAAAATATTGCCATTTCATAAGTGGACGTGGTTTGAGTAGAGTAATAGGGGACAAATTATATTTCTCTACTAGTATGTCAAATCCAATCGGATTTTATAACTNAATGGTAAATTGGCTTAAAGATCGGTAACTAGAGTATTAATCTCCTTTTTACCATATATGTAGACACTGTAAACGGTACTTCAAGTGGTAATAGGGATGAAATGTAATTTCAGATGTATTAATTTTGAATATTCACAATTCTTTAGGGTCAAGTCATGAGGAATTCATCCCTTATAAATACCCTAATTTTAACATGAATGACTTACTTTTGGCTGAACCGAAAAAAAGATTAATCAATGTACGCACAAACTAGTTTGAATAACCGTGACTATTAAAAAAAAATTCATTCCACGCTCTTTTTTTTATCATTTTTATGGTCCCAAAAGTGGTGATAGCAACAACTAACTACCTCNCTATATCGCTACCCTTGGGCTTGACAATTAGGCCCATATGTTGACAAGCCGAGTTCTAAGGGTATGCAATCCATTTCAACAAAAATAGAGTGTATGGCGGATATTTTAGATTCGACAGTTAATTTTATAATTTATATTTTAAAATTTTAATCATGGTAAATTTGATTATTTATATTTAATATTTTAATCATCGTAAATATGTTTAAATATAGAGTTTTAGGATCAAAATTTTGTTTTTAAACAATCAAAAAGTTTGAAATATTTCTGTTTTTAAAGATATCGAATTGAATCAACGATAAGATCGAAATTCTAATATATTAAGGTGTTTTGTAATATTTCAATACATTTTCATAATTATTTTGAATGTTTCACTGTATTTCAAAATACTTTTANCCAATATATTAAGGTGTTTTGTAATGTTTCAATACATTTTCATAATTATTTTGGAATGTTTCACTGTATTTCAAAATACTTTCATATATTTTAATCAATATTTTGAAAAAATAATTCTTAATTTTTTTTATTCTATTTTTCAAACAGATCGAAACATTTTTGAAATACATCAAAAGATTAATAATGTTAGGATAAGTCCTCAACAAAATTAAAAAATAAAAATAAAAGTTGATGATGTGATAATTAGTAGAATTGTTGCTTAGCTTGTTTGCCTTACAATCATTGCTCCATGATGTCTACCCCCTTAACCGTTTCGGCCTTCGGGGCCACCACCCCTATGTTTCTACTCTATAAAAATGTTTTGCTCTTGTTTTTTTTTTTGTAAATATAAAAGAAGAATGTTGATATGGAATTAAAGTATATTTCTTTAACCACATGAAAAGAAAGACGTAAGATAATTTAGAGGTTTTAGATTTAATTTTTTTTAACCTTTTTCAAAGGTTAATTACTCATATTCTGACTTTTAAGAACATTCTTTAACTCAATTCAAGTTACGATGACTAGCCGTTAAATTCGAAGGAATAATCGATGAAATAAGTATGGATAAGTGGGATAGTTGGATATCAAAGAATATATTGGTTAAGTGATTTGATTTGATATTGCGGGCCGTTCATAAAAAATGATAATTTTAGACCGAACTTTTTTTTATTTTTTATTTTGTAATAAATTTTATATAATTAAATAAAATTATACGAAGATTTGAGTGATATAAACTGTTATTGTACTTTTGTTGATAGATACTCTTCCATTTCACTATCTCCCCTATATTTACTAAAAAATTACATANCAGACCCTTTTGGAGGGAGCGTCTGAGGGGAGCGTCCTTAGCGCGTGTCAGACACTCACTCACCTGCGCGTGAGTTGTCCCTTTCTTTCACCCTCTCATGAAAGAAAAATCCTTCGTCACCTGACTTTGGCATTAAGAAAATCTCCATCAAAAAAGGGGCTGGATTTTTTTTTTNGAATAAACTCCAATCAAGAGAGTTGATGTCTCCCACGTAACACTTACATTAATGTCAACCTCACCAGAGATTTAGTAAGTTTAAAGCAACAACTCCCATGTCTACTCCCATCTGAATGGGACCCATCCATCCTATTATTCAACCCCCCCAACCCCAGTTCAAAATCACCCCAAATACNTCTTCTAAGGATAACTAATACAAATAATCCAATTGTCCTATTCCATTCTCCCTCTCTCTCTCCTCTCTATTTTGTCTCCTTCTCTTATTTTTTCATAGATTTGATTTTTTTTTTTTGAAAAAATCTATTTTGTCAAAGTAAGTAAAGTTTTGTGACAATTAATTTAAGTAATAAATTAACTCTAACAAAGTAATAACCTATTTAGACTAAAATTAATTAACAACTAATAATAAAATAACTAATTAATGAGAGCTTGATTAAATTCTCAATAGTCTTCGTAACATATGAACACGCCGCCGTGTAAAAGATGTGAAATTTCAACAATTTTAACAATTATATGTAAAAAAATTTTGTTTGAAATTGATCAAAAGATAATTTATAAACCAAACATAATGTTGGATTGGATAGGTTAGGGGCAAAACAATTCCTAGTATCATATTTCATCAATCTTTTCCATGGGTCTTCATCACCGTGCTCTGTGGGTCCCACATAATTGCTTACGTGTTATGCAAGTACTAAAAAATAATATTTTTTTAAATCTACAATCCAGTCCAACCCTGCCATGCCATCGAAATAAATCCTTAAATTATGGGATTTCTATCACACTGTCTCCTAAAGTATCATATTCTATGCTAATAAGATATAATTAATTTTTTTTAGTCTACCATTAGAGTGGCTGAAATTCATTCAATCCAATAACTTAAAATCATTTCTAAATTTTTTTCCTCCAAACTTGAAAAACTCAAACAGTGTATACTTTTTTTTACGGTAATCAAGTCAGACTAAGTATTCTCTCTCTTATTCATTTTTTTCTCTCTCTATTAGGAATGTTGAATAATTTATTTTTTGATTGTAGAAATCTAAGAAAGACTTTATTTTTTATTTTCTAATCTTAATTTTTGATAAATATTTATTTTAATTATCAAATTTGTTTAGTTACTAACTTCACATTGTCCTAATAATTAAAGCCTATTAAAATTTTAATGAAATGTCATGCCACTTTGATCCTCGAATTACATTATTTTGTTTAACTTTGCCCTAAAATATTTATATTTTTAATCCAAAAGATAATGTAAAACCAATTCAAGTACTTAAGAAGGCAACATAAGAAATTCAATGGATCAAAGAACAAGGTGAGATGAAGGCTGCTGTTTTGGAGGACAAAGTGGGAAAATACCAACTCGTTACACTCATTAAGACTCGTACGTCCGGAAGAGAAAACAGTCGAAAAAAAAAGAATTTAAGTGTCGAGTAAGATTTTTTAATCAATAATGTTATTTGAATTTAAAATTTTAATATAATTTATTGATCTAATGACGGCTTTATTAAAATTATTGGATTAACACCAAATTTTAATATTTGATAGAGCTCACAGTCAATTCAAATGTCATAGTGAATTAGATCAGTAAATTAAGTCACAACAACGTTATTTTTTATTTTTTTTTTAAATTTAAGTCTAGTCCATTGTAAATATGAGTGAGTCCTACACTCATACATTGTTAATGAATAATTTATCAAAAAAATAAAATAAAATATTAAAATAGATCTAAATCCTTCATTTGGTTGCAGGAATGAGGTATGAGGCATGAGAACAAAATAAATAAATAAACATTTCGTTAACACAGCTTAGAGCCAAAATATAAAAGGAGTATTCATTGTAACACCATAAAACAACTTTTTTAAATTATGAAATATGAGCAAAGGTGTAATTCTAATTTGTCAGTAATGCTCAACTTTTGGAAAGAAAAAAAATTTAATCAAGTCGTTAGTCCTCTTCTTTTTTTTTTTGGGCTATAAGGAGTTCAAGTTTGTGTTGATTATTCTTTCAAATTCATCGGTTAGTCAACATGACATGAGCAGGAGTAGAGCATACAAGGGTGTCTAATTCTCAAGAAGTGTTGGAAAGGATTAAATCTAAGACCTATGAATTACCAAATGACAAGTTCAACCACTAAATAGAGACTATAATTGTATACTAATTATGATTTTTTAAGAAAAAATTGATTTTTTATTTTTAATTTTATTTCAATAAATAATACAATAAAACATAAATTTTTGTTATAAAATTTAAAATATTTAATATTCTATATTTGATTAGAATATTTTTAATCTAAGTAAAATATTTTAAACTTAAGAAGTCTAAATATTACACACTTACAAGCTTTAGGAGGTCTAGATATAATTTATTTAGCAGATGTTTAAGTGTTATACAAACCTTAAATGGTTTTATATAATATTTTAAATGTTAAAAGGTCTAAGTGATAAATCTCAGAGAGTCTGAGTTTAATACTCCCTAAAATTAATTATAGCATCTACAATCGACTTTGGAGTGCGAATGATCGATTGTCCTCGTGTTTTAATCAAACACACACGAGTTTTAAATGCAAATTTAAAATTCGAACAAACCAAGCTGAAACGATAACTTGTTTGACTCGTTTAATTCTGAACACGAGTTCTCAAGCATATGCTCAAACTTAATTCGTTTATAGATGCTGAAAGTACTCTCTGCAAACTAACAATACCCAAACATTATATGCGATCACAACAAATCTTCAATCCTACAGGTTCTCAATGAGTGGTAAGAGTTCAAATTAAACTGGCATCATGAAGATGAAGAATGAGGAAGCAGATACGCACCAGTAAATAGCAATTTGAAAGATGCTGTGTCAACACAGATCACTCATACAAAGTCGGATCACCCAAAAAAAATCTATGTCGAAAGAATTTCTTTTGTAATTCTTCATATAATGATTCCGAAAATATTGGATCCCTACCTACCTATGCAAATTGTTTATAAAACTCTAAAATGACATGAATATTTAAACCACGACGAGCGGTAAACTAGGAACTCATCTGAAAACATTTATTATACATAGAGATGATTACTACATATGTTGGATCTCCCATGTCACATTGAAATAAAACATAGGAAGGTCTGTCACCGTAATAGATGGACTAAAATATAAAAGCTATATGAATATCTCTCATTTACGAGGATTTTCAAGCAGTGTAGAAGCCATAGGAAGTAATCAAAAGTTTTGATAACCAGGATGCAGGTGGGGTGGATGAAAAGTTGATAAAAACAGCAGAAAAAAGGAATCAAATTACATATAATAGGGGCCTAGAGAATAACTCCCTCATCCACTTCATTGTCCTCATCGTCCCATTCAACAGAAGAGACTGGAGGACCACCATCAGAAGAGCTTTTCAAGGTATGATCAAAAGCCTCAGAGTCATACTTCAATGAAAACTTCCCCGACGGTTCAAGAATCTCAATACCAATTGTAGGGGACAGTGATCGCCCCACCACTTGAACATGAGACACACTGCAAGGTGTCAATAAAGTACAGAAAAGAGTAAGAGCCAATCATGATGCTCTACATAACTTTTTGGTCACAAGAATAGATTACACCACCTTTTTTTCTTCTCTCTTTAAAAGTCTGAAGATTACACCACCTGAAACTACCTTTTCTTGAATTGGTAACTAAGAGACTTAAAATGACAAAAAGTGCAAGGCAGAAGAAGTAATCAAGTTATCTAGTATGCAATTCTGAAGTCTCAAATATGGACTTGTTACAAAGAACACAGCTTGATGTCCATTTCTATTTCCCATAGTTAAAAGTCAAATTCAGCAGGCTCAACAAGCATTAAACTATTTAACAGAAAAAAGATGGGTCTGGGACTAACCATATGTAAAATAAACCATTCATATCATGTCTCTGAACCCCACGCAACAGCTCAATCTGCAAAAATCCACCAATGTAAAGAACAGGTTCTGGCAGCTTGAACTTCTGCAAGGAATTTTCCTGATTGCAGGAAAGTTGTTTAAGCATTGAGCTACTCAAATATGAAGTTCAATAGCCATTCAAAGGACAACAACAAAAGAATTACACCTTTGTGGGAAGTAAAAAGTATGAATAAGTGGAAAAAATTAATTTTTAATTCAAATACATGCTAAAGAATACATCGTAGGAAGAGAAGCCATAAATTATAAACAACTATTTCATATACGTCGTGAGCACTAACCTTCTCTTACGAAGAAATAATAAAACCAACCCTATTTCTCAGCCAACTTGAGAAAAGGTTAGGTCAGAACTTTATACCACGGTACAACTCACCTGAGCCATTGGAAACTCTACTGACATGTATGTCCATATGAACTTGTCATCTACAGGTTGTAGTAATGGCAGATGCATGAGATCACCCTCTATATCCTCCAGGGACTTGGCATGACCAAATCGGAATCGCACAGCTCTTGCAGAGTATATGCGTTGGCCCAATTCAAGAACAGCTGGATGGAGAACCATGCTTACCATCAACTAAAGGCATTTGGATTGTTAAAAACAAGCTAGAAGAGTTCAAAATAATTAGAAAACTCACAACCATTATCTCGGAAGGGCCGTATATTTATTTGAGTAATCACACAAAGATCAGCACTTAATTTGTATATTAGTGTCTCAGGTGCAGCAGGATCACGGTGTCCTTTAGTTGACCAGTATGAGAATCTCCGTAGTAATCTGTCCCTTGGTTCTAAAGTATTTGCAATGCTTTCAAATGGATAGCGATCAGTGCTAGAAGCCCCAACTGCATCTGCTATGCAATCACTTAATGCAAACCGTGTAAGAGCTCGAAATAGAGGAGCCTAGGCCCCTGTGGTCCCTCTCAAGAGCTTCCCATTCCATGAGATTGCTAGATTCAACATCAACCGATTTTTTTGCTTTGCAGCAGCAGCAACTAGTTTCAATCACATGAGCAACACTGGAGAGCTGCGGAAACATTCTCACACACAGCTGCTTACAAAGTCCATTTGCAATCACTGCAAAAAAAGATGATATCATCGTAAGTTTCGGCATTACCTTTTGGTTTCCCTTCCAACCTACCAAACCTATAATACAGAATGTTAATGACGCCTCTTCCGCATTTATACCACTAGCTTAACATGCCTGGAACCATTGAAAAAGTAAAATGTTCATAATACCAGTCATTAGAGTTCCTTCATGTAGCCACCAAACACTGAAACCCATCATTACCTACGTATTTTCTACAAAGTTATTGAACCAATATTCAGAAGTAAGAAAACAAATATCGAGTGCAACCAGCAAAAAAACACATATAGTACCCATCATTACGTACGTATTTTCGACACGATTAATAAATCAATTAAATANTGGATGAAAAGTTGATAAAAACAGCAGAAAAAAGGAATCAAATTACATATAATAGGGGCCTAGAGAATAACTCCCTCATCCACTTCATTGTCCTCATCGTCCCATTCAACAGAAGAGACTGGAGGACCACCATCAGAAGAGCTTTTCAAGGTATGATCAAAAGCCTCAGAGTCATACTTCAATGAAAACTTCCCCGACGGTTCAAGAATCTCAATACCAATTGTAGGGGACAGTGATCGCCCCACCACTTGAACATGAGACACACTGCAAGGTGTCAATAAAGTACAGAAAAGAGTAAGAGCCAATCATGATGCTCTACATAACTTTTTGGTCACAAGAATAGATTACACCACCTTTTTTTCTTCTCTCTTTAAAAGTCTGAAGATTACACCACCTGAAACTACCTTTTCTTGAATTGGTAACTAAGAGACTTAAAATGACAAAAAGTGCAAGGCAGAAGAAGTAATCAAGTTATCTAGTATGCAATTCTGAAGTCTCAAATATGGACTTGTTACAAAGAACACAGCTTGATGTCCATTTCTATTTCCCATAGTTAAAAGTCAAATTCAGCAGGCTCAACAAGCATTAAACTATTTAACAGAAAAAAGATGGGTCTGGGACTAACCATATGTAAAATAAACCATTCATATCATGTCTCTGAACCCCACGCAACAGCTCAATCTGCAAAAATCCACCAATGTAAAGAACAGGTTCTGGCAGCTTGAACTTCTGCAAGGAATTTTCCTGATTGCAGGAAAGTTGTTTAAGCATTGAGCTACTCAAATATGAAGTTCAATAGCCATTCAAAGGACAACAACAAAAGAATTACACCTTTGTGGGAAGTAAAAAGTATGAATAAGTGGAAAAAATTAATTTTTAATTCAAATACATGCTAAAGAATACATCGTAGGAAGAGAAGCCATAAATTATAAACAACTATTTCATATACTTCGTGAGCACTAACCTTCTCTTACGAAGAAATAATAAAACCAACCCTATTTCTCAGCCAACTTGAGAAAAGGTTAGGTCAGAACTTTATACCACGGTACAACTCACCTGAGCCATTGGAAACTCTACTGACATGTATGTCCATATGAACTTGTCATCTACAGGTTGTAGTAATGGCAGATGCATGAGATCACCCTCTATATCCTCCAGGGACTTGGCATGACCAAATCGGAATCGCACAGCTCTTGCAGAGTATATGCGTTGGCCCAATTCAAGAACAGCTGGATGGAGAACCATGCTTACCATCAACTAAAGGCATTTGGATTGTTAAAAACAAGCTAGAAGAGTTCAAAATAATTAGAAAACTCACAACCATTATCTCGGAAGGGCCGTATATTTATTTGAGTAATCACACAAAGATCAGCACTTAATTTGTATATTAGTGTCTCAGGTGCAGCAGGATCACGGTGTCCTTTAGTTGACCAGTATGAGAATCTCCGTAGTAATCTGTCCCTTGGTTCTAAAGTATTTGCAATGCTTTCAAATGGATAGCGATCAGTGCTAGAAGCCCCAACTGCATCTGCTATGCAATCACTTAATGCAAACCCTGTAAGAGCTCGAAATAGAGGAGCCTAGGCCCCTGTGGTCCCTCTCAAGAGCTTCCCATTCCATGAGATTGCTAGATTCAACATCAACCGATTTTTTTGCTTTGCAGCAGCAGCAACTAGTTTCAATCACATGAGCAACACTGGAGAGCTGCGGAAACATTCTCACACACAGCTGCTTACAAAGTCCATTTGCAATCACTGCAAAAAAAGATGATATCATCGTAAGTTTCGGCATTACCTTTTGGTTTCCCTTCCAACCTACCAAACCTATAATACAGAATGTTAATGACGCCTCTTCCGCATTTATACCACTAGCTTAACATGCCTGGAACCATTGATAAAGTAAAATATTCATAATACCAGTCATTAGAGTTCCATCATGTAGCCACCAAACAATGAAACCCATCATTACCTACGTATTTTCTACAAAGTTATTGAACCAATATTCAGAAGTAAGAAAACAAATATCGAGTGCAACCAGCAAAAAACACATATAGTACCCATCATTACGTACGTATTTTCGACACGATTAATAAATCAATTAAATATAGGTAAAATCAATCAAAAGAAATACACAATACAACTCGCTCTTATATTAATTATAGATGAATGATACACTACACAAAATCTGACATGATATGACTTATTAGACACGAATAAATAAATAAATTGAATATGAATGAAATGTTTTTAACACAAATTCATTTTACCCAACACGATTGATTGACCTCCTTGTGAAGAGATTTGATAAGAAAATATTGTCATTTCATAAGTGGACGTGGTTTGAGTAGAGTAAAAGGGGACAAATTATATTTCTCTACTAGTATGTCAAATCCAATCGGATTTTATAACTCGTTAGGTTTGATGGATCTACCCAATTATAACCCGGTAAATAGGCCCATATGCTAGCCCATATCGCTACCCTTTGGATTGACAATTAGGCCCATATGTTGACAAGCCGAGTTCTAAGGGTATGCAATCCATTTCAACAAAAATAGAGTGTCTGGCGGATATTTTAGATTCGACAGTTAATTTTATAATTTATATTTTAAACTTTTAATCATGGTAAATTTGATTATTTATATTTAATATTTTAATCATCGTAAATATGTTTAAATATAGAGTTTTAGGATCAAAATTTTGTTTTTAAACAATCAAAAAGTTTGAAATATTTCTGTTTTTAAAGATATCGAATTGAATCAACGATAAGATCGAAATTCTAATATATTAAGGTGTTTTGTAATATTTCAATACATTTTCATAATTATTTTGAATGTTTCACTGTATTTCAAAATACTTTTATATATTTTAATCAATATTTTAAAAAAATAATTCTTAATTTTTTTTATTCTATTTTTCAAATAGATCAAAACATTTTTGAAATACATCAAAAGATTAATAATGTTAGGATAAGTCCTCAACAAANCGTCGTGAGCACTAACCTTCTCTTACGAAGAAATAATAAAACCAACCCTATTTCTCAGCCAACTTGAGAAAAGGTTAGGTCAGAACTTTATACCACGGTACAACTCACCTGAGCCATTGGAAACTCTACTGACATGTATGTCCATATGAACTTGTCATCTACAGGTTGTAGTAATGGCAGATGCATGAGATCACCCTCTATATCCTCCAGGGACTTGGCATGACCAAATCGGAATCGCACAGCTCTTGCAGAGTATATGCGTTGGCCCAATTCAAGAACAGCTGGATGGAGAACCATGCTTACCATCAACTAAAGGCATTTGGATTGTTAAAAACAAGCTAGAAGAGTTCAAAATAATTAGAAAACTCACAACCATTATCTCGGAAGGGCCGTATATTTATTTGAGTAATCACACAAAGATCAGCACTTAATTTGTATATTAGTGTCTCAGGTGCAGCAGGATCACGGTGTCCTTTAGTTGACCAGTATGAGAATCTCCGTAGTAATCTGTCCCTTGGTTCTAAAGTATTTGCAATGCTTTCAAATGGATAGCGATCAGTGCTAGAAGCCCCAACTGCATCTGCTATGCAATCACTTAATGCAAACCCTGTAAGAGCTCGAAATAGAGGAGCCTAGGCCCCTGTGGTCCCTCTCAAGAGCTTCCCATTCCATGAGATTGCTAGATTCAACATCAACCGATTTTTTTGCTTTGCAGCAGCAGCAACTAGTTTCAATCACATGAGCAACACTGGAGAGCTGCGGAAACATTCTCACACACAGCTGCTTACAAAGTCCATTTGCAATCACTGCAAAAAAAGATGATATCATCGTAAGTTTCGGCATTACCTTTTGGTTTCCCTTCCAACCTACCAAACCTATAATACAGAATGTTAATGACGCCTCTTCCGCATTTATACCACTAGCTTAACATGCCTGGAACCATTGATAAAGTAAAATATTCATAATACCAGTCATTAGAGTTCCATCATGTAGCCACCAAACAATGAAACCCATCATTACCTACGTATTTTCTACAAAGTTATTGAACCAATATTCAGAAGTAAGAAAACAAATATCGAGTGCAACCAGCAAAAAACACATATAGTACCCATCATTACGTACGTATTTTCGACACGATTAATAAACTAATTAAATATAGGTAAAATTAATCAAAAGAAATACACAGTACAACTCGCTCTTATATTAATTATAGATGAATGATACACTACACAAAATCTGACATGATATGGCTTATTAGACACGAATAAATAAACAAATTGAATATGAATGAAATGTTTTTTAACACAAATCCATTTTACCCAACACGATTGATTGACCTCCTTGTGAAGAGATTTGATAAGAAAATATTGCCATTTCATAAGTGGACGTGGTTTGAGTAGAGTAATAGGGGACAAATTATATTTCTCTACTAGTATGTCAAATCCAATCGGATTTTATAACTCGTTAGGTTTGATGGATCTACCCAATTATAACCCGGTAAATAGGCCCATATGCTAGCCTATATCGCTACCCTTGGGCTTGACAATTAGGCCCATATGTTGACAAGCCGAGTTCTAAGGGTATGCAATCCATTTCAACAAAAATAGAGTGTATGGCGGATATTTTAGATTCGACAGTTAATTTTATAATTTATATTTTAAAATTTTAATCATGGTAAATTTGATTATTTATATTTAATATTTTAATCATCGTAAATATGTTTAAATATAGAGTTTTAGGATCAAAATTTTGTTTTTAAACAATCAAAAAGTTTGAAATATTTCTGTTTTTAAAGATATCGAATTGAATCAACGATAAGATCGAAATTCTAATATATTAAGGTGTTTTGTAATATTTCAATACATTTTCATAATTATTTTGAATGTTTCACTGTATTTCAAAATACTTTTATATATTTTAATCAATATTTTAAAAAAATAATTCTTAATTTTTTTTATTCTATTTTTCAAATAGATCAAAACATTTTTGAAATACATCAAAAGATTAATAATGTTAGGATAAGTCCTCAACAAAATTAAAAAATAAAAATAAAAGTTGATGATGTGATAATTAGTAGAATTGTTGCTTAGCTTGTTTGCCTTACAATCATTGCTCCATGATGTCTACCCCCTTAACCGTTTCGGCCTTCGGGGCCACCACCCCTATGTTTCTACTCTATAAAAATGTTTTGCTCTTTTTTTTTTTTTTTTGGTAAATATAAAAGAAGAATGTTGATATGGAATTAAAGTATATTTCTTTAACCACATGAAAAGAAAGACGTAAGATAATTTAGAGGTTTTAGATTTAATCTTTTTTAACATTTTTCAAAGGTTAATTACTCCTATTCTGACTTTTAAGAATATTCTTTAACTCAATTCAAATTACGATGACTAGCCGTTAAATTCGAAGGAATAATCGATGAAATAAGTATGGATAAGTGGGATTGTTTGATATCAAAGAATATATTGGTTAAGTGATTTGATTTGATTTGATATTGCGGGCCGTTCATAAAAAATGATAATTTTAGACCGAATTTTTTTTATTTTCTATTTTGTAATAAATTTTATATAATTAAATAAAATTATACGAAGATTTGAGTGATATAAACTGTTATTGTACTTTTGTTGATAGATACTCTTCCATTTCACTATCTCCCCTATATTTACTAAAAAATTACATAGGTGTGTTTGGGTACATGTAGACTGTTCATTACCATGTTATGTCACATGGACCTCTACTCTAATCTAACGTAACTTCATGGATAAACTCCAATCAAGAGAGTAGATGTCTCCCACGTAACACTTACATTAATGTCAACCTCACCAGAGATCTAGTAAGTTTAAAGCAACAACTCCCATGTCTACTCCCATCTGAATGGGACCCATCCATCCTATTATTCAACCCCCCCAACCCCAGTTCAAAATCACCCCAAATACAAATCATAGCATCCCAGAAACAGACTAGAGATAAGGGAAAAAACACACACACAAGTCTTTATTATATGTTTGGATATATCTATACAACAGTCTAAATGACAGCCTATGGTCTATGACTGGTTAATAATGATGGTTGAACAAGTTGTAGCCATCCATTTTTTATCAAGTGCAATTAATCTAAGAGTACGTACATTTTTTTGAGATCGAACTATAGATGTCCATTCATCTAATGTTATTACCGATCAAATGATCAAATCAAACAGTTAGTTAAATATTTAATGCGATCGGCTAAGAGAGAATAAGTGTCGTGATTCAAAACTCATCGCAAAAAGGGTAAATTGGTAAACATGGCACGCACTTAAAGATCAATAACTAGAGTACTAATCTCTTATTCACCGTATATGTAGACACTGTAAATAGTACTTCAAGCGATAATAGAGATAAAATGTAATTTCAAATGTATTGAGTTTGAATATTGACAATTTCTTACTGGTCATGAGGGATTTATCCTTCATAAATACTTTAATTTTGACATGAATGATGTACTTTTAACTGAATCGAAAAATAGATTAATCGATGTATACACAAATTAGTTTGAATATCCCTTACTATTAAAAAAAATAAATTCCATGCTTTTTATCATTTTATGGTCCCAAAAGTGATGATAGCAACTAACTACCTCATCCTTCTACCTTTGCTTTGATGCATCATGAAGAATGAAATTACACACCTAATAAATCTTTTTTTTTTTTGGGCATTCATGAATGGGTTTAATTGCCTAAATAGTAGTGGTGGAAATGACACCTTAGGAATCCCAACTCTCCTATAAGTCTAAGCACCAACCTTTATAGTACTGTAACAAAACTACAAGCCAAAAAAAATCAAGAAAAAAACCACACAATTGACTTGGACTATATACAATAATGTTATGTTGATAAAAATTTCTTATTAATTTTTTATTGTAAGTGATATGACACAATTTTTATAATCAAATAAGTGAATCCTATTAATATTCAATAATAAAAATTATATACCAAACATCACTTATATAACTCCCCGTTTCTTATAAGGTGCAACTCAGTCAATGTCAAACCCAAATTGACAAACGCTTTATTTTTTTCAATTCTCTCTCTGGATACCTAAAATAAACATACTCTTATATGTGGCTAGATTAAAAGGTCTAGGAAAGAAATAAGGTCGAGTTATAGATTTTTAGGTGCAAGTTATGACAGATAAATGATATAATTGATCTCAAATTATTGTGATCGATTACGGAAGTTAATAATTTTTAAAAATTTAGTTATATTTTTCAAATACCATGTTACAATTACTTTCAAAAATTCATGATCGATAATTTTTTTTCAAACAATTATAATTTGACCTTTAAAATATATAATTTGACCATTAAATACGATAAATTTTGATATATAACAAATTTTTTTTCCCATGCCATAAAATTATCCCTTTGCATGGGAGAAATAAGGCAAGATGCATCAGATCCGGACAGGACAAGTAACTTCCTATATTCTTTGGCATTAATAGGGGAGAATAAACCTTTAAGGGCTAGTTTGTTTGAGGTATAAGGGTGGTATAAGGAAAATAGTACGTGGAGTTTACCTTAAACCTTGTTTGCTTGACATTTTTTCACTAGGTACTAATTTCTGAGTCATAGTACTGACTCAGTGTGAACAATAGCACTAATGTCTTCTACACGATGCTATTCAATACTACCTATCCGGTGGTATAATATTTTTGGTATAAATGAATAGAGGTATAATAAACTAAAAAGATCGAAATGCCCTCAGGTACAATGCTCATATAAAAGTCTAGTTGTAATTTTTGACTTTTTAAGATTAAAATTATCTTTTTACATTGGTTAGTCGTAATTATTGATTTTTTTAAGTAGGTATTACACAGATAATATTTGTGACAAACAAACAAGAAGAATGATGAAATTATAATTTAAAATCAGGTATAATATACTATTAAATTAAAATAAAATAGATATAAAATCTTATACCACCTTAAATCTTATACTTAAAACAAACAGGCCCTAAGAGTTATGCAACAGATCCGGACAGGACAGAACACCTCTTAATGCCAAAGTCAGGTAAGATGCAAAATGCATTAATAGGGGAGCGTCCTTCGCACGTGTCGCCACATACTCACTTGCGCGTGAGTTATCCCTTTCTTTGACCTTTTTCCAAAAGAAAAATCCTACGTTACCTGACTTTGGCATTAAGAAAATGAGAAAAATTCCATTTTGTCCACAAAAGATATAAAAAATTTTAATTTGCCCGTCAAATGATTAATTTTTCATATTAGCCCCTTAAAAAAATTAAAATATTAGAATGTGGTCCAAAAATATTAGGAGAAATGTTTTTGGAAGCAAATTTTTGAAATTATTAAATATGAGCAAAGGTGTAATTCTAATTTGTCAATAATGCTCACCTTTTGGAAAGAATTTTTTTTAACAAGTGGTCAAGCACTCGTTAGTCTTTTTTTTTTTTTTTTTTTTTTAAGTATTTATGTTTATATTAACTGCTCTTTTGAATTCATCAATGGCGTGAACTGGATTAGAGTATGTAAAAGTGACTAATCTTTAAGAAGAGTTGGAAAAGATTAAACCTAAGACTTATGAATGACCAAAAGTCAAGCTCAACCAATAAATTACTCCAAAGAGTTACTCGGTAGTTGTTAATATTGTCGATGTTTCTTTATCTCTAGGATTTTAATACGTCATGTGACACTATCATATATATAGTATGCACACTCCATAAGAGGCGGTCACAAAAATATTTTATAAGATAAAAGTTGATTTTGTTTTAAAAAAAATTTAACAATATAATAGGTGATAATTATTTATTAATAATGTAGTAAAAAGACAACCCCTCCGCCATCTCTATCTCTCTCTTTCCCTCCGCAAATTTCGACGACCTAAACAAGCAACACACACCACCAGCTCTCTCTCTCTCTCTCTCTCTCTCTCTAAACAGTGACATCTAAAGACCAAACAAAACATCTCTCTCTCCTCTTCTCTTTGGGTGCGGTGTCAATGGCAATTTGGACCAACCTCCAACACCACCTTACACTGAAAACCAAGAAAGCTAATCTCTACTCCATGGCTTTCACCACCTTCCTATGCTCCGTATTCTACCTCATCGGTATTTGGCAACACGGCGGCGTAAGTACGGGAGCCACCACTTCCTCCTCCTCTACCCTCCCATGCAATTCAACAAAAAACACCAACGCCCATCTCTCCAAACCCCTCGACTTCAATGCCCACCACACCGCCGAAGACCTCGTCCCCCTGGTGGCGCGTGTCAAACACTTTCCACCATGCAACCCAAAATTCTCCGAATACACACCATGTGAACACGCTAAAAGATCGATGAAATTCGATAGAAACATGTTAATCTACAGACAGAGACACTGTCCAGAGAAGAATGAGTTAATGAAGTGTAGAGTTCCGGCGCCGTATGGTTACACGACGCCGTTCCGATGGCCTGAGAGCCGTGACTCGGTTTGGTATGCTAACGTGCCACATAAGCACCTGACGGTGGAAAAAGCCGGTCAGAATTGGGTCCGGTTCAAGGGGGACCGGTTCAGGTTTCCGGGTGGTGGGACTATGTTCCCCCGTGGTGCTGATGCTTATATTGATGACATTGGAAAGTTGATCAATCTCAGAGATGGGTCCATAAGAACAGCCATTGATACCGGTTGTGGAGTAAGTATATTATAATTTTCTTATATATATATAGTTATTATGTGCACTTTTTGGGGGCAAAGACCCGTTTATGTGAATTATTAAATTAATAGATTTGATAAAAAAATTTATCAAACCCATGGTTCACAATGATTTTTGTAAGCAATGGTCCATCTCGACGAATAGAGGCGCACTTATGTTATTTAGATTCATTTGAGTATAACCAAGAATAAATTCCAAGTACATAAACTGATTCCTCGATCCATACACGAAATTTGATACTGTTTTACAGGCACCACCACCCTTGGTTTTAAGCCATATTTGTATTGGGTTCTAGTAAAGACTGGTTGTTCTTAGCTACTTTTCTTTCTTCTGAAATGTTTAGGAAAAGGTATAACTTGGGTTTTGTATTTATTCTGAATCTAAGTAAAAGACAAGAAAGTATACATTTTAATATTCAAGTTTTGTTATATGGATCCCAACTATTTAATGCAACAGTTTTTTAGTTGAGTTCTGTTGCTATAAATAGAGACCTAGCCTAGATCCTACCAGATACTCTTAATTTCAAATTCTGTTAATTTCAACCAAGTTCAATCACCTCTCCAGATTTACTTGGAGGTTTTTATAGTGGTATCCAATTAATTTTATGGTTAGTGTTGATAATCTAGTTGAATTTTGTGTGTTTGAGCTGAGTCTATCAAGCTCGTTTTTTTAAATGAGTTTAAAAAATTGTTCAAACTCTCGGCTTATTTAAAAAATGAACTAGAGTCAAGTCCAAGTAATTCGATTATTTTACACAAACGAGCTAAATTTTTTATGCTTAATTTTAAAATAAGTCTAAACAATTGTTCAAACTCGACTTGTGTAGTCGAGTCATGTTCAAGTCGATCCCTTTGGCTCAATTATCAACCCTATTCATGGTGGATAATTGAGCTTGATCGAAGATGAGAAAATTGATGTTGCGAAAAAAGTCCTCCCCAACATAACTATTTGATGGGACATTTTCGAAATACTCCAAGATGAAGACACGTGTCCTCGGTGTAACTAAATCCTGTTATTGAGATCACATACCCATCGGTTCACAAGTCCCTCTCCCCCGAGGTACTTTGTCATAGGGATCAAGTGGCATCCAGTACGTTTACGAACTGACACGTATTCCTCGGTCTGATATGGATACATCGGTCGCTATATGCACCTCCTCTCGGCTTCGAGATGAACTTCCCCCTTGGGTCCGAGATGTACCTCCGTCCAAGGTGGCGTTTTCTGCTCCTATAGAGACTATTGATGTACAGGTTACTAGCCTAGGCTAGGCTAGGTTAGCTATCATGACCTCGTCTTACACAATTGGTGTCAGAAGGCACAGGAAGGCAGGGCCCACAGCCAATGAGGAATGGACGCGTGGCATATTGTGTCACATCAGAGTCAGAAAGACCGCATACCCTTGCTGACACACGACTTGGGAAAGCAAGCATTTAATTACACCATTTCCTTGATGAGACTGCGTTCAATGCGGTAAGGCTCGGAAGTGAAAGGAAATAAATGCCTCTAAAGCTGAACATTTATTGCATCCTCCCCGAGAGGAGCTCATTGAACAGTCGGCAGCCCGATGACACAGCATTGATTGCTCAGGATCCCGAGCAGTTAAAAGAGAAGACATTCCTCGTAGGAATCAGTGCGCACGTTGCCTGTATATAATGATCACCTACTGACCACACTGACAACAATCATGAGTATTTGAGGTATAAATACTCATCGCAAAAGGCAAGGTGGTATGCAACGAAAAACCTTTGCTACAATACATACTCAGTATTTTTTTCTTCCTCTCTCTCAAAAATTGACTTGATCGTCGGAGGAGATACGCCAAAAAATACTCCGGCGCCCTTCTAACTTGTTTTTCTTTGTTCCAGGAACCTTCCTTAGCCTTACTGGATCGTTCCGTTGATCCACGAGGGTCTCCCATTACCGTTCCAGATTACCACCGGACCTCACAGGCTGTTCCAAACAGTAGGGTTGACCATTCGACTGACTCACTCGAGTTAACCAAAAGAGAGATCTGTTCTCGTGTTTATATTGTGCAAGATCCAACACGCACAATCTGGCGCCATCTGTGGGAAACGACTAGTTTTTCTAGTTTCTTCTCTATAAAGAACAGTGACCATGGTGAATACTCGACAAAAAGGGAAAAGTCCCCAGCAAAGAAGTCTCGAATTACAAGCTCCATGTCACAATGGAGGGAGGGATCACACTGATGGGAATAAAAATGCCTCTATTCAGTCAAGAAGGGTTACCCCTCAAACCAGTATGGGAATCAGGTCAGAAGGATTAGCCCCCTTGGCTCATCAGCTGGCGGAGGTGATCGAAGAAAAGTTTGGCGATAGATTACGACAGCTGAAAAAGGACAATGTAAATGTCCTAAGCCGGCTCAACAAATTCGTCACCTCCGACGAAGGGTCGAGGGACTCATTCCTTTCTCGTGGGTTCCCCGCCCGGGAGGCAAAAACGAAGGATCTAAGGAATCATCTAAACAACAAGGCAGAAAGCTCCAAGGGCCCAAAGCGACTGAGAGCCAACGAGCACCCTCTTAACGACCATTCTAGGAAGGCAAGGCCTTTAGCCCTGGACGATCTCCGACAAGGATTGTCGAGACAGAGGAAGGGAGATGAGTCCGAGGAGGATTCAACCTTATCTACACGGTGCCCAGGAAATGGGGGGCCTATTGATGAAATCAAAGACTTCAGAAGACATCCCGTCAGGGAGGAAATTGATCTCAGAGTCCGATTGAAATCCAGGAGAAAGAGTAAGGCTGTCCAGGATGAGGTCGAAGACAAGGTCATACAAACACCCTTTACCAGGGAGATCGGAGAGATGGAGGTTCCAAGAAAGTTCGTCGTGTCGAGATTCAAAACTTATGACGGGCGGTCCGATCCCGAAGCCCATCTCAGGTAATACAAGCAGATGATGTCCCTCTATCATTCAGACCAACGGTTCCTCTGCCGAGTGTTTCCTATGAGCTTGGGGGACTCTGCGATGAAGTGGTTCGAGGCGCTTCCCCCTAACAGCATTGGATCGTGGAAGGAATTGACGAGGCAGTTCCTGGCTCGATTCATTACAGGGAGTAAGCGGCCTAAAGACGTTAGATCATTGCTAACGCTCACACGTAGGGAATCCGAGACCCTTGCCAGTATGTCATCCGGTACTAGAAAGAGGTTAATGAGGTAGAAGGTTGTTCGAAAGTCATGGCAGCGGCGTCTTTCAGGCTCGGCTTGGCAAGGGACACGGACCTGTACCGATCCCTGACCAAGAAGACTCCCTCGGATATGGGCAAGCTGATGACCCAGATAAACAAATACTCAAGGATCGAGAACGAGATGGGAAGCAGCAAAGGCCGAACCCTCCAATCTAAGAGAAAAGAAAGGGAGCAAGAGGATACTCCCCGAAAGGGACTGCTACCCCCTCCAAGGGGGTCGTCCAAAGGAGTTCACACTATGTTCAAGGAACCCATCTTCAAGTTGCTCCATAAGATCAAGCATGAGCCGTTTTTCAAGTGGCCACCTAGGATGCAGAGCGATCCCTCCACCCGTGATCAAAAGGTTAGGTGTTCTTATCACCGGGATTTCGAACATCGCACCGAAAGCTGCAGGGTATACAAATCGTTCTTGAAAAGATTGGTCTGAGACAGATACTTGAAAGAATACATAGAGCTCAGGCCGGAAGAGAGACACACCCCTGCTCCGACCGAGGAGCCGGACAACGTCATAGATGTCATCTATGTATGTCCACTAGATCGCCCCACGTCTAAGGAACTCGAGTCCAATCTCAAGAGGGTAGCTTTTACAAGGAAGATAGTCGAGGATGATGGGGGGCCACCCAGTAAAAGGGCCAGGACTGGGGAGCCCAGCATCACGTTCTCCGACGCGGACTTAATAGGCGTGGTGAGTCCTCATATCGACGCCCTTGTCTTAACCCTGAAGATAGGTAAATTCGACGTCAAAAGGGTGTTGATAGACTCCGGAAGTTCCTCGAAAGTGATGTACTCTAAGACTTTAAAACGGATGGGTATTGGCCTCAAGGACCTCACCAAGGTCAGGACACTCCTCATCGAATTCAACGGCTAGTTTTCCCTGCCCATAGGCAAAATCACATTGCCAGTTGTCACGGGTCCCTTCATCATCAACACCGAGTTTGTCGTGATTGATACGGACTCTCCCTACAACGTGATCATGGGATGAACATGGCTGCATGCGTTGGGTGCGGTGCACTCCACTTATCACCAGAAACTAAAATTCGTCACGCCAGAAGGTATCATGGAGATCCGGGGGGACCAAGCGTCTGCATAAAATTATTTTTATTCAGCTGTTAGAGCCGGGGCGTTCACCCAAGAAAAGGGGCGAGCACCGAAAGAGATCATGGAAAAATAACAATCACAGTCCGGGCGTCCAGGAATGGATGACCCCCGGATAGACCCAACTAAGTGGTCGGTGGAGGATCTCCGAAAGGTGCCCTTGGTGGAGGGAGAAGAAGAAAGATACTTCTTAGTTGGAACCGCGATGCCCACAGCCGAACATGAGGAGATGATTGAGTTCCTAAGGAGAAATGCAGACGTGTTCGCTTGAAACACAATGGAAATGACGGGAGTAGACCCCGAGATAATCACGCACAAGCTGCATGTTGACCCGGCGCACAAGCCAGTAAAACAGAAGCCACGACGCATGGCCCCGTATCACGCCTGCGCGGTCAACAAAGAAATCGACAAACTCCTGAAGGCCAACGCCATTCGGGAGATACAGTTCCCAGAATGGCTGTCTAACACAGTTTGCGCGAAGAAAAGGGGGAAAATGGTGTGTCTGCGTAGACTTCACAGATCTAAATAAGGCATGTCCCAAGGACGACTACCCCCTACCAAAGGTGGACCAGCTAGTGGATGCCACTGCTGAATATGAACGCATGGACTTCCTGGATGCCCGAGCAGGATATCACCAGATCCCTCTCCATCCCCCAGATCAGGAAAAAATGGCGTTTATCACTCCGAAGGGAGTTTACTGTTACAAAGTGATGTCGTTTGGACTAAAGAACGTCGGGGCGACATAC